GAGAATAGCTAGTCTTTATTTTAATAAGGTTTGGGCAGCTAAGTGGCACAGTAAATAGAGTGTCAGACCTGAAGTCAGAAAGAATTGAGTTCAAATCCAGCCTCAAGACACTTATTAGCTTTGTGACCCTGGGCAAATCATTAAACTCTTTTTTCCCCCAGTTTCCTCATCTGTAGAATGGGGATAATAATAGCACCTACCTCCCAGGGTTATTGTGAGGCTCAAATGAGATAATAATTGTAAAGTGCTTACAGTGCCTGACACATAGGAAGCTCTACATACATTTTAGCTGGTCATCATCATCATCATTATTATTATTTGTAAAGTGCTTTGCAAACCTAACAGTGATATGTATATATATATATATATATATATATATATATATATTATACACATATATATGTATATATAATATATATACAGATATATATGTAAGTGCTAGCTTTTGTTATAACGAGGAATACAATGGCTATTTTAACTATTTTGGGGAAAAGAAGAAAATCAAAGTAGAAACAGGACTGCTACTTTGAAATAGGATAGATAATGATAGTGAATGAGAGAGAAGGCAAGATCTACTCATCTCTTCATATTATTCCCTTTTCTCTGCCAGGGAAAATGACCTTTGGTCTGGAAAAAGTCATTTTGGTCTGAAAAGAACAAAAAATAGCTAATAAGGTCCAAGACAAGTAAGTAGAGATAGTAAGAGATTACTTAGCTGACCTAGGTGAGTTCAGGCCATCCAGTTCAAATAAATTACATTCTAGGGTAACAAAAAAGTGGCAGACGGAATAGTTGATTTTTGCCCATGGTCTTTGAAGGATCATGGAGAACACAGAGTTGGAGTAGGGCAGATGTAATCATGATAATTTTTTTAAGGCAGATGCCAGTGGATTCTGCAAACTATAAGCCAGTGAGCTTGATTGTGATTCCTGGCAAAATTCTAGAATGCCTTATGTAAGGCATGGTTAGTGAAAATCTAGAAAAGTAAGTCATGATGCCAGAGAGCCAGCATGATTTCATCAAAAGCAAGCTATGGCAGACCAACACCATTTTTTCTTTTGGATAGAGTTTACTTGGTTAGTAGATCAGAGGAATGCTACATGCTTATATATTTTGCCTAAATTTTTAGCAAAGCATTGGATAAAGTTTCTTGTGGACAAGATGCAGTAATAAAGGTTAGGTGATAGTAATGGTTGACTGGCTGGATCCAATGAGTAGTAATTAATGGTTTGATGTCAACTTGCAAGGTTGTCCTTGGTGGAGTGGTCTGGGTGTCTTTGTTGGATCCTGTACCATGACTTTTTTTTTTTTTATCAACAATTTAAAAGAAGGAAGGAAGGAAACAAGCATTGATTAAGCATCTTTCATGGTCAGGTACTTGGCCTTACACATGTTATTGAATTTTATACTCACAATAACTCAGGGGGAAGTAGGTGCTAGTATTACTCTCATTTTACAGTTAAGGAAACTAAGGCAAATAGAACTTAAGTGACTCACCCTGTATCTGAGGCTGGATTTGAACCTAGGTCTTCCTGACTCTAGGACCAATGATCTATCCACTGTGCCACCTAGCTGCCCCGGAAGGCATAGATGATAAAAATCCATAGGTCACAGAGATCTTGGAGGAATAAAAACATATTAGATAACAAAGTCAGGATCCAAATAGAATCCTAATAAGTCTCCCTACCTTCAGTCTGCACCCTCTCTGATCTGTCTGCTACATAGTCACCAAAACAATCTTTTTAAAATACAGCTTTGACTGTCTCTCATATGAGCGAAAATCTTCAGTGGTCTCCTATTGCTCCTAGGAAAAATGCAAGCTCATTAGTTTAGTTTGGCATCTAAGCCCCTTCCCGATTAGGCTCTACCGTATTTTTTATGGACTAGCTTAATATGTTCCCCATTAACACACCCTGCGTTCCAGCCATATAGGTCTTCTTGCTGTTCCTCAGACCCACTGTTCTATTTCCTGTCTCTGCCCAGGAATGCACTCCCTCCTCACCTCAGCCTCTTAGTATCCTTAGCTTCCAGACTCAGCTCAGTTAGCACGTTCTATAACAAGACTCTCTTTCTCCCATCAAATTATCTTGTATTGCTGTCCCTAATTATTCTGCTGTGTCTCACAATAGAATTTAAGGTCTTTGATGGTAGGAACTGGTTTTTTTTTCTATGTATCTGTATCACAACTTTTATTTCTTTGTATCTATTACAGCTTAAATAAATGAATATTGAATTGGATGGTTGAGTTGAATCTAATAAGATGCAGTTTAGTGGGGATAAATGAAAACTTTACAGGGGTTCAAAAAAACAATTTCTCAAGTACATTGGAAAAGTTAATGCAACCTTAGATTGCACTGAGAGGCAAAGGATCCACATGAGGAAAGTGATGCTCCCAAGTGATGCACCACTGCAAATTTCTGTGCTAGTCATTCTGTATCTGCAGAACTGGCTTTAGTTCTGGTCACCCCTTCTTAGGAATAAAATTGATAAGCTGAAGAATATCCAGATGAGGGCAACCAGAATGTTGAAAGACCTTGTTAAGTTACTATTATGAAGGACTGGCCATAGGAAATGTGTATATTTAGCCTACAGAAGACTTATGGGGGACCTGATGGCTATTTCCAAATATTGGAAGGGCTCTTATGTGGAAGACGGATGAATTAAATTTGTCTTGGCCCTGTGTTTGCAGAATTATTAGCAGTAAGGAGAAGTTGCAGAGAGGGCTAAATTTAGATTAGAACCAGTTAGTTGCTTTGGGGGAAGAAGTAAGTTGTCTCTCACTGTATTTCTTCAAATTGAAACTGGATAACCACTTGTTTTATGTGTGTGTGTGTGTGTGTGTGTGTGTGTGTGACATACATCCATATGCATATATTATACACATATTTGTGCATATGCATATATACACACATATATACATATATATGTATGTGTGTATATCTACACACATATATAAAATAGTATATTCTTCAGGTTTAGTTGGACTGGAAGACCACAGAAATTTTTTCTATGGTCCCATGTGCCTTGCTGTGCCATTCACTTTTCTGTCATCAGCTTAAATTTAGTATGAGATGCCTTCTCCCATTCTATTCCCTTTCTTTGGTCCAGTTTCAGGGTCTCTTTTGAATATTCTGCTGTTTCCTATGATTCCCATGAATGTTTTCTTGGGTCTTTCCTTTGGTGACTTTCTCCCTTTAGCTAGAATGTTACCTAATCCTGCTTTTAATTCTTTTCTGTCCCAACAATAAAATCCAGGGATCATCTTATCTGAATTAGTGTAGCCTCCTCATTGGCCATGTTGACTCCCAGCTTTTCTCCTCTTCAGTTAAACTATGCCTTTTCCTTCTTTAATCTTTTTATCCACAGCTTTGACCATCCCTTTTCTCTTTATCTTATCCCCACCTCTGGAAACCTCCAATCCCTTTTATTTTTCTCTTCAACTTCAAATTAGTCATTCTAACTTTCAAGGCCTTCCACCAGTCTGCTTCTACCCACATTGCCCCTCTCACTTCACTCTACTCACTGCCCACTCCCTTCACTTCCGTCAAACCTCCTGGGCCCTTTTGTTCTGTTCTCCCACTCCCACATCCACCTCCAGAGCCCTTTCCCTGCTGTTACTTATGCCTAGAATATCCTCCCACTTTATCTGTCAAGCAGCCTCCTTTCCTTCTTTCAAACCCACCCACAGACTCGTGTATTTTTCTAGGACACCCACCCCCTAACCATCCTAAATGAATCGGGGGTGGAGTAGGAGAAGGGATGAGATTTAGAGATAGGAATTTGCCGGGGGGGGGGGTCCCTATTATTTTCCATAATCCATATATTGCTTTAAGAAAAAAAAAAGAAATTGTGTATCTTGCTATTAACACAAAAGCTTTCTGGGAACAGAGAATGTGGTTTCAATGTTTCATAAATGTAGGCATTTTTAATGATAAAAACAATCAATAAATAAGGAAGTTATCGCAAGAGCTCCCTTGATGAAGACTTCATTCAGGGTAGGTCATGAATTAAACAATCGTTGAAAAAAAATTACCAGGTCACCTAGCAGAGTTCAGAAATCAAAGCCACAGGAGGTACATAGATACTTCAGAATTATCTTTCTGTTTAGCTTTGAATTAAAAAGTAGACTTTTCATTATTTCTGTAAGGGCAAAGGAGTTTGGAAATAGTGAAAAGTATTGCAAGTGTTGCATCAACTTTCTGCCTAGTCTCTCACTTTGGCACAAAGATAGTTTTGTCTGGGAGAAACTTTCCTAGTGAAGCTCTGGGTGAAGCTGATAAATTCTAGGTTTTAAGAAGTGGTACAAAAATGACATTTTCAGTTTAGGTGATAGGGAAGGATTTTTATCACACCTCTTTATCTCTATTTTAAATATAATCAAGATAATGCAGGCTTTTAAAATTCTTAACAAGAATGCCTTCATTGGATTACACATAGATATATATCTATATCTATATATGCTAAATGTAATACTTGTATTTTTAATATGCAAGAGATGCACAAGTTGTCTTTTAAAATGAAAAGTAAATCTCATTAATATTTTTGGTGATGTACCCTCATTATGTTAATGACTTTAGTGAAAGTAAACTCTTCTCCACTTTCACTTTGTTATTAGACCTATAAATCTAAACATATTCAACATCAGATCCCCCAAATTAAGAGACAGAAGTGTTTGGACACCTGCTGCCATTTGACTCTCATCCAAAATCTTAAGTTCAGAGTTTCTTTGGGTTAACGCAAATGAATTGTATTTTTAAAAATGATTTAGACTTTTAAAAAAAGTGACCTAGTGGTATTCACAATTAATGGGACTTATTTTTCATCTGTTATAATTTCAAGAAATTTACTTGTTCAGATTTCCCTGGCATTAGTGAGTTAAAATTATAAATCCTTTGTGTCTTTAAAGTGAGCTAGACCCTGGTGTATCTGGTCACTGAAAGAAGCTCACTTACTAAACAGAATCCTAATTGCTGTGTATTTTTCACTTTTGTAATCACCAGGTTCTCTCATTCAAGTCCCTTCAGTTGAGAGGGGGAAGCTCAGTAAAGTTCGTCTGGGCTCATTGTCTTTGAAAAAAGAAGGAGAAAGACAATGCTTCTTATTTACAAAACACTTTTTAATTTGTACAAGAAGTTCAGGAGGAAAACTGCACCTGCTGAAGGTACCACTTTTATATAACTACCTTATAAACAGTCTGCACTCCTACAAGAATTCAGGGTTTTTTAAAAAAGTGATAAAATGGCTTTCCAGCAATTGGTATTATTTCAGCAAGAATCCTCACTACAGTAGAAGTAGTGAGATAATGATTACCAGCAATAATACATTTTGCCTTTTTTGTTACTTGGATCCAAAATGATGGAAACCCATTTTAAAGTGTTTTTATTAGAAAGAAGTAGGATTAAATTTGTGGACTAGACACCAAAAATTATTATTAGTTGATGGTTATTGAACTATAAGAAAACCCTTCCAGGTCCCTGGAGGGCCATCTAGTTCAGTGAGGCAAAATTTTGCTAAATGGTTGATTAATGTGTACCTCACATTAATCTGCAAAAAAGGGGGGAAATATCCTAAGCAAAATAGACATGATTTTTCCATTCCCTGGACTACCACTGATAAGTTGTATTCCATTGGTGAGTTGTACCCTCTTAGAAGCTGCTATCAAGGTACTACAGAATGCACTGAAACATAATTTACAAAAATTTTTTCCAGTAGTTTGTATGTGAGGGGAAGAGTGACTTAGCTAATAAAGGGCCACCTCTTAGTCGGGAAGGCCTGGAGTGAAGTTTATCTTCTCACACATGCTGTTTCTGTGACCCTGGAGAAATTATATCACCTCTCAGTGCCTAAGGTCAAGCTCCAAGGCTGAACTGCAGAGTGGGCTAGGTTGAGGTTGTCTGGGGCATGGGGTAAGAAGTGTTTCCTATACTAGTGAAAAAATAACTCCATTTCCTTTCCCTAAAATATATATGGACACTGTGGGAGGGAGGAAGAGTTGGGTGGATGGGGAAGGGAAAGGGGGAAAAGAAGAGAAAATATTTCTTCCAGGTTGGTATCTTTAAAAAAAAATACTGAGGCAGCTAGGTGGCACAGTGAATAGAGCTCTGGCCTTGGAATCAGGAGGACATGAGTTCAAATCCAGCCTCAGACACTTAACATTTACTAGCTGTATGACCCTGGGCAAGTCACTTAACCCTGATCACCTCACCAAAAAAGCAAAAAAAAAAAAGTCATGTTGATGATGGCATAGATTTGAAGTATGGTATCATCTCTCACCTGAGACCTTCTGAAATAATAGAAGTTTTAAAATCACAGGTAGCTTTCTAACCCTTCTGGAACCCTCTTGCTAAGAAGTGATTTGTTTCCACAGACAGGTGGTGTTCTCTCTCTCATAGAATGCACCTTGATTGAGGAGCCAGATGCAAGTGAAGATGATTGTAAGTCGCAGTCTGCTGCCTAGAATGAATTTCAGCTCAGGCTGGAGACTTTTAAAATAGTATCCCTGTTTATATTCCGTCATTGAAATGATATCCATTTTATGAGTTCTAAGAATGTGGTATACAAATAATAATCCCTTTTTCCCTCTCTGAAGATAACAGTTTGAAAAAGTGAAAGAGATAAACTAGTTTTTTTCCCTTCTCTATTAGATGGGAATATTATTTAACTGTATAATTTGTGTATCTTTTAGAACTATTTTGGAGTTCACATGATATTATATTTTTTTTCTGTGGCAAATTGGACATTATTTTTGACAGCAGAGAAGAAAAAGAAATTGAATTGGCATACAATAATTGCACCATTTCGGGTAGCAGAAAACACTGGACTAGGAAACCAGGGAAACTGGTCATGACCCTTACCTGTTCTGTAATCTTGAGCAATTCATTCATCTTCCCCAGGCCGCAGGTGCCTTATCTGCTTAATGGGAACAGTAATTGTTACACTGTTATCAGAGAAGTGTGTGAAAGTAAAAGTAATCACAGGTGCAAAAACATTCATATTGCTAAAGAGTGCTATACTGACAAAGGGAGTGTTATGGTTTCTGTACCTAATAACATGTTTCTTCTTTGTATTAAGCAAAAGGTTCTGGGCAAGTGTTTGGACACCTGGATTTTAAGATTGTAGTGGAACCTCCGGATTCTGCTCCTTTCACAGTTGTCTTGTTAGCGCCTTCTCGCCAAGAAAAAGCTGCCTGGACAAGTGACATAAGTCAGGTGAGCCAGATGCTTTTCCCACATCTGCTTTTTTTTTTATAATCTATTTGGTCATAAGACCACAAAGGGAAATTTTCAGAGATGTTATTTAAAAATTTTTTAATATATACTCTCTCTAATTAGTCACATGACCTTGGGCAAGACAAGTAAACCTACTCTTGCCTCAGTTAGCTCTCTGTAAATTGAGATCATTAGAGCTGATGATCTTTAAGATCTATTCCACCTGTAAAATTCTCTGTCCCTGTAAGCTCCTTGAGAACAGGGACTGTCTTTTGCTTCTTTTTGTCTCCCCAGCACTTGGCACAGTGCCTGGAACATAGTAGGCACTTACTAAATGTTTGTTGATTGATTCATAATCTAGATGCTCATTATGCCTTGTTGCATTAATATATTGGTATTTTTTGAAAAAGAAAAATTTACTTGAAACATACTTATTGCATTATTGGTCCTTGTTTGTTTATATGAAATGAAAATATAGTAATTTTATTAAGTACAGTGATTTAGACTTTCTCCCACACATCTACACACACACTCACATTTTAAAAACAAACCCAAATACTAGGTTACAGGATATATTTGACTTCATTACATGGTGACACAATTATGATATAGTTACATCAGGAAATTGTGATTTTGGGATGTTTGGATCACATTATGGCCAAGGTGTCTCAAAGCTTACCTGTTGTAACGAGCTGCTTTTGTGAAGCTTTGTTAGTGCTTCATGATTTTCACCTAAGGAAAAGCTTCTATGTTCATTAAGTGGAGAAGGAAAGCTTTAGAAAAAGCTCTTTCATCTCTGATGTAATTGATGAAGAATATCTGATTAGCCCCCAAACAGGGTGATGCAGTGATTTCACAGCCTAGCTAGTCTTCATTCACTAAGGAGGCTGGATTCTCTTGAGATATTGGTTAAGTTAATTGATTAGGTTAGGGTCCAGAAGCATGGCATGAGAATCTAATGTTGGGAAAATATTTTTTTTTAAATATTATTTAAATGTTAGAGGACTAATTTCTAGGCTATAATAATGATATTGATGATTATTGTGGTCTCATAAAAGACATAAAAATAGCATTAATGTTGCTAAGTATTCTAGAAGCATCTCTAGGGAAGAGCTCAAAGTATTTTTACATATAAAAAAAGTTTAAGCAAAAAACAAAATATACTGAGTCTCCCAGATACTGAATAGAAGCTGTTAGGTAGATGGCAAAAGTGTATACTGCTGTATTAATAATCTTAATGTGCCTTCATTTCTTAGAAGCTTAAGCAACAAAATGAATGGCTAGCAATGAAGCCAGTCCTTTTAGGACTAGAAAAAGGAACCAAAACTTGGCTTCTCATAGTTCTACGGTCCCTCTGTTTGATGCCTTATCCAGTTATTTCATTTGCTCATTCAACAGACACTGTGTACTATTTATACTGGGCTCAGCATGGGAAAGGTAAAATGTTTAGATAAGACAACATCCTTATATCCATGAGGTTTACTGTCAAATAGTGGTTCATTAATCCTTTTATTATCTTTATAAATATGCTGCCTAATTATGAAGGCAGGGTGGAATAAGAACAAGGAGATAATACAATGAATTTGTATTTATAATTGTGGTAATAATAACATATAGACAATAGGATCAGCGTATCCAAGCAGAATCAAGGACTTGTGACCATGAAATGGAAAAGATATTAGAACCTAAGCTGAGAACATTCTCTTACTGCTTTGAATGAGTCTGTCAGCCTAGCCTGGTCAATAGCGATAGTTCTGAGTGGGCCCTTATGGAAGATGCATTTCAGAACTGGAGGAGGAAGTTACTACAGGAAGGGACATGGAGTAGGGCAATCTGGCATGGTCAAATTATGTGAGCTTCAGTCGGCTATTTTTTAAGGATTGAATTACCTGAAAGATACAACTAGTAAATCTGTCTGACAAATAAAAGTGAGACATAATTGGAGTAAGATGAAAAGAGAGGGAAAAAAAGATATGATAGAAGAAATTTCACAATTAATAGTAATAACTATCAGTATAAATGGGATGAAATCACCCATAAAACAGAAGAGTAGTAGATGGATTGGAAAGCAGAATTCACCAATATGTGTGGCTTCTAAAAACTACACTTGAAACATAAGGATTCATGTAGTTAAAACAAAGAGCTGGAACAGCATTTCATTTTGTTTAAAGAGAGTTAAGAAAAGCAAAAGTATCAATCCTGACCTCAAAGAAGTCAAGAATAAACATCATTAAAAGAGTTAAACAACAGATACTTTCATGAAAAAAATGACAATGAGAAAATGTACAAAAACTTTTGAGATGTTACCTGGACAGTCCCTCGGGGAAAGTTTATGTTTCAAAGCACTTTTATCAACAAAAAAATGATGAAACAGATGAATGAATTGCATATGTAACTCAACTAGATAAACAACAAGTTGGAAAACTCCAACAGAACACAAAAATAGAAATCCTGAAAATCAGAAAAAAGTTCACAAAATTCAAAGGTAAACACCTCATTGAATTAATAAATAAAATTCATAACTGCTTTTAAAAGCTAATCACGTGAGTAATCCATAAGTTAACCTGATTTTTAAAAGAGGAAAACCAAATTGCCAATATATAAAAAAAGAAAAACAACAGATGAAAATGAAATAAAGGCTGTTATCAGAAATTATTTTTCTAATTATATGCCAACAAAATTGGTAACAAATGAAATGGATAGATATTGACAAAAATATAAAATAGGTAGATAAATGGACAAAAAATAGAGAATTTAAGTAACATGGTCTCAGAAAAGGAAATTGAACAATCTATAATTGACTCCCCTCCAAAAAATCCCAAAACTTCCAGAAGCATATAGGTTTATGAGTGAATCCTATCAAACATTTAAAGAACAATTAGTTCTACTATTAGATAAACTATTTGCAAAAAAAGGGGGGATTCTATCAAATGCCTTTGTGGCATTAATGTAGTCTTAATCCCTAGTCTAAGGAAAGACAAAACAGAAAGATAAAAGCATAGACCAATATCTCTAATGAAAACTGATATAAAACTGATATAAAAATATTATCAAAGAGGGTATAGCAATATATTAGAAAGAATCTATATGTTGTTTAAGTTGGGTTCATATAAGGAATGAAAGGTTGGTTCAGTATTGGGAAAACTTTAAACAAAATAATTAAGAGATCCAATTAAAACATTATTATTGGGTCAATAGATATAGAAAAAGCTTGCAACAAAATATAATATTTATTTCTTTTAAAAACCTTAAATGGCATAGGAATAAATGAGCCTTTCTTTAATATGACAAATAGCATCTATCCAAAACCGAAAGCTAACATCTGTATTGGGGGAAGACTAGAGGCCTCTCTGCAAAGATAACATCTTGAAGCCAGCCTTGGGACAAATAAGAGGAGAAGGTAGTATATTCCAGGCTAGGTGACTGCTATGGCTGGGGCCTAATTTGGAGCAAGCATGGACATCCAGAAGCCTAGTAATGAGAGAAGAGTCCAGGATAAAAGCTTAATGAGGAGGCCTGAAGTGTGATGTACCCTTCTAAAGTTATAAAATAAATCCAGAGAAATCATAAGACTTTTTGTGTTTTGCCAACAAAACCCAATACGATAAGCTAGAAAGAGCAATTACATTCACAATAGGTATAGACTACATAAAATATTTGGGAATCAACCTGCCAAGAAATAGAAAGGAACTATATGACTATAACTGTGACACATTCCCAGGCTTACTTGCTCAGTTTGCACTGGCACTAGCGGGTTGGGTGCCCAGACGAGTGGCTTCTGTTACATTTAGGGGTTTGGGCTAATTCCCCCCACTCTCACAAACTTTCCTCATATTTTACAGAAAAAATGGAGGTCATTGCCCATGAGCTCCTTCTTCTCCCTTCTTTCTCATCTCTTGTCACTCAGATGCCTTCTGCCACTCTCTTCTTTTGCCTGTCTCATATAATGAAGTGGCCTTAATCCCTCTATTTGTTCAAGTGATCTCCTCTAACAGCTTGTCCCCACTGTCATCCCTACTCTTCCAGTATTTTCAGTCTTTCTCTGTCTACTGGCACATTTCCTATTGACTACAAACATTCTCCTATCTCCCCATCCCAAAAAAAACACTCTTACTTATGTTAACCAAAAACAATATCACAAGTCCATGCGACATTATGTTGCAACTAGATTTATTATAAGAGAAATGAACATCAGATTCTTTTTTCACAACATGACTAATGTGGAGATGTGTTTTAACATGATTGCACAAGTGTAACCTATATCACATTGCTTGCTGTCTTGGGTAGAGGGAGGAGGAGAAAGGGAGGGAGGAAAAATTGGAACTCAGAATCTTATAAAAGTGAATGTTGAAAACTATCTTCACATGTAATTGGAAAAAAATAAGATACTATTAAGTGAGGGGGAAAAAAAGAAATGAACATGCATCTGAAACCCTAGGCCAGGGCAAAGAGTTCATAATTCAAATAGAAGTTTGCATATTTATGAAATTGTGACTAAGAGAGGAAGAGGGGAAATAGAACTCTCCACCCGAATGAGAATGGCCATGGAGGAGAAATCATGAATAATTAAGATGGCGAAAGCAGCATTCTTTTCCCTTGGGAACTGCTAGACTATGAAGATAGGATGGTCTTCTTATCTGCAAGGGTCCTGATGGGGTGCTTGTACTTGGACTCTAGTCCTACAACCATATCTCTCCCCAGCCTAAAGACCCTATCTCTGACAGTAACTTGTGAATGGGCCCAGGCAGGTAAACTATTTCTCCCTGTTACGAGAACAAGCCGACCTCTGTAAAACTTTCCTTGTATGAACAGACTGTCTTGTGCCAGCAGGACTATCACGTACAGATTCCCACAGTTGGCGTATATAATCCAAAGGTCAAACTATATCAACTCCCAAGGCTATCTTGTTAGAGGCATAAGCGTACACATATACAGACCCCTGAAAAGCACCACCCCACCCCTGGCCATGCCATTAGGGAATAATGCCTGTGCCCAAGGTA